AGGACATGGTGTAAAATGTTTTTATTATTATTATTTTATTATTATTATTTTAAAGATATGATTTATCCTATGTGCTGTATCCATTACACTCTTTTACTTTGGTTCCTGTTGTGCTCTTGTAAGAGAAATGCAGATATAATTTTCTGAAAAATAGATGCATATGTGGCACTCGGAGTGCACTGCGGTTCAGCAGATTGCTTGTTTACTTTTTTAACTGTAAGGCGGTTTCTTGTAATTTGGCTCTTGGCAGCACAATAAAAAATTTTAAACCTATGGATGCATGTCTTCTGAAATGTTTGTATTTATTATTTCTGGACACTGGTCCTTGAGACATTAGTTTCCAGTTTGATATTATGGTTGAGTAGGAATTCATATTGTTGTCATGCTGACCTGAGATCAGGACAGTTCAGAAAGAAATGTGGGTAAAGAAGAGCTTGCAGGTACTGAAAGTTCTGCATATTACACTAAAGGATTTTCACATTAAAGAGCTTTGCGGAATTCCAAATAGTTCCAGTGTACAGTAAAGATGAATCAAATTCAAAGTTAGGCCTTTGCCATGACATGGAGTTTATGTGGTCTAACAGTCAGACAGAAAGCCAAACAAGATTCTAATGTGAGGTCCTACAAAGTGTATGGAAACAGAATTTGCACTTCATGGACTTCCTGAGCCACAGATCAACTACTTATCTGTTAGGCTATAATTTTTTTTTCTTCTTCTCATTTGTAAGTTAATTAACTTGATGTCCAGGTTCTGGAATGTAAGATCCTGAGGCAAAGTGGTTTTCAGCGAAAGTACTTGCTCTGTAAAAAAGTGCCACCTTTCTTTGAACCTACTCTCCTAATGGTTTCATTTAATATCCCTGACACTTCACTGAAAGCAGCAGTAGATAAATATTTATATGTCACTCATTAATTTAGAGATCTGAATGTTGTTTCCATTTTTTCTTATGAATCCCAATATATGATTCTTCAGTAGTTCCATGCCTTATGGCCTACCTTGCCATTCCTTGTACTTCCATGTACATCCTTTAAGATGAGGGGTAAGGGGACTGAAAATGTCCACATTGTTCACAGGTGGTGCTCCCTGGATCTAGCATGGTCTTTACTGTTTGGATTGCTGCTGACAGCTGAGTCAGTGTTCTTGCAGAGCTAGTTGCAATAATACAAAACGCCCAGTAGTTACTGCAAAGCCCATAATTGACTTTAAGTAGGTTAGATCTGTATTTATGTGCATCCCTTTACACCTCCATATGCTGAATTGTTTCTCCCTTGCTAGTTACCTGTTCCAATATTATTGCTCCTTCCCAAGGCAAAGTCTGTGGAAAACTTATGTCTTCTAGAAGAGCATCTTCATCTTCAAACTTTGCAAGGATTTTGGGTTTTCATCAGAATGAAACAGAAAACATAATTGTACCAATGTATAAAACAATGATGCATGCACATTTTAACACTCATTAGTAGTTCTGGCCTCTTCTGCCTTACAATGTCTGAAAGGATCATACCTGGAATGCCTATTTACACTAGGGTTTGTCAGGGCTTGTCAGAATCCTGAGTAGGATAGGATTCACATCCTTTCAATGACCTCAGTGGCGCTCAGATTCTTAACTAGGGATGCGTTTTCCACTTGCAGCGCTGCCAAACATCAAGTAGGAAGTACAGAAAGAAAATTAAAGGAGGCTCAAACCGAATCAGGAAGTTTAGCAGAGAAACTTCCTGGTACGTAGTTTAGGATATCAAAAGATCGTGGTTGCTCAAAAAATATACGAGAAAAAAAAAAAAAAAGGCCCATCCTAAGCTATTGCGCCTAAGGCACAATACAAAGCTAGCAAAGGATGGGCACCGGAGTCACGGTGCTGGTAAGAAAAAATATCTCCAAAGCTTTTTTTATGCAATTCTTGCATACTTGGTGACTGAATGGAGGCATCAATGATAGTAATAAGAACAAATTTAAAAACGTACTGCAAATACTCCGACCACGGCAGAGGCGCTGGAACTGGGTGACCTTTAAAGGTCCCTTCCAACCCAAACCATTCTACGCCTCCTGCCCGATGAGCCAGCCCTGCTCGGTGCGGAGCTGAGTCGGTACGGACACCGCTGTGTGCAGCTCTGCGATCGCTGGCCCGGCCCGGCCCGGCCCGGCTCTGCGATCGCTGTCCCAGCCCGGCCCGGCCCGGCCCGGCTCTGCGGGCGCTGTCCCAGCCCGGCCCGGCCCGGCTCTGCGATCGCTGTCCCAG